CGATTAACTACATGCATTTACTACTCCACATTTGCAACGAAATTACTTTGCAAACTTCTGCTATATAAATAAACGAATTTCGTTCCAAACCTTTACAACTCCTAAAACAAATAAACTTTCTCACTCTAAACTCCCTCTCCAACCCCCAAAAATCTCTCTCTACAAAAATCTCCTAACTTTTAGGTAAATTATATTCTTTAAGTTAATTTTCATAGAATATATAGTTTTATTTATATAAATATTAATTTTTTAATTGTTTTTGTAGATCGATGGAATGGAGAATTCCCCAACATAGCTACGGACGTGATAACGGCTCTACGCCCATGATTCCGAACGTAGAATCTTCCAACGCATTCAATACACTGACATCACCTCCAACCCACAAAGGATGCGGTTACGCATGCTCCATCTTAATAAAGAGGATAGAGCATTATGGTAATTATTTTGGTTAATTTTGTTTTTCAAATTTAATATTCAAATTTATTAAAGATTAATTAATTGTTAATTTTTAGGTTTAATATCGATCAGAGGTTAATAATTCTGTCTCGAGTTTTATAGAGAGTAATTTCACTAGACCTTGGATGAATTGGTTCAGATTACCAGAAACCACTAGGCAACACTGGTTTGCTAGTTTCGCAGTAAGTTGAATTAACTTTAAATTTATTTTTTAAATTTACATTTCATATTTAATCGTTTCGTTAACATTTTCAATAAATTTTTTTAGCAATCTTGATATTGAGATGAAGTCCATACCTCAAAGGTCTATGAGGCATGGAAAAAATGTGTTATGGACCTTCTCAAATCAAAAGTTAATAGGTATAAACAGTATTGACAAATGAAGCAAGATCGTTCTCCGCCGAAGAACATTGAAAGCGGGGTCTGAGCCCAGATGGTGGAATTCTGGGAAGATCCCATCAACATTGAGAGAAGTAAAAAGGCAATCCAAAGTAGAAAAACAGACGTAGCTCCCGACACCGGTCCAAGTAAGCATACATCGGGACGAAAACCATTTAGTCAGGTCATGCATGCATTGGTAAATATATATTTTTTTCAAATATACAATATATAATACACATATATGAACCTGTTTATCTTATAAATATTTTCATTGTAGGCCAAAACATGTGGAAAACAACCATCGCTTCTGAATGTATTAAAAGTAACACATATTAGAAAAGATGGTAGCATCATCGACGACAACGCCAAAAATCTGATTACCGAGATCGAAGAAGCGATAAGTATATTTTAATTCACAAATATACATATATACATATCTATTAAATTTTTATAAAATCTTATAGATATATATGTTATCTGTCATAGCAAACAATGCTTGAAGAATCTCAAGCGATTGCGTTCAACGCAATTGTCACAACAACAAATCGATGAGTTATACGTCCAAGTAAATATATTATAAATAATATTATATATATTTTAATTATGAGTTTGTATTTAGTTATAAAAGATATAATAACTTTGTCATTTGAATACAAACCATCAAGTCGAACAAATACGGTTGCATATATGGACTTGGGTCGCTTAAACAAGATATCATCAACACCGTCGCCGGAGAAGGAGAAGCACCAGTTGTTCAGGAGATTGTCACACTTCAATGACGGCTTCAAGAATTAGAGCAACAGGTGCAAAACAACTTTGTATCGCGAGCAGAGTATGACGAGTTGAAACAATGACAAAACTACCTCGAACTGTTGGTTGATCAAAACATCGGGAATGTCAACACCGGTGGTGCAGGGGATAGTGGTAGAAATAATGATCCTCCCGATGATGATGATGATCGATGATGGCACTGATATTAATTTGAATGATTTTGATCTTCAATAATTTTGTAATAAATTTTTTTTTTAATTTTATTACTCTAGTTTGCAACCAAATATTTCGTTGCAAATAGCGTTGCTATGGAGATATTGCAACGAAATATTTCGCTGCTAATAGGGTTACTATATATGTTTTACAATGAAATTTCGTTGCAAAAATGCAGAAATTTAAAAAATTAAAAATATTTTGCAACGTTACAAGCGTTGCTTTGCATTGCTATTTGCAACGAAATTAGTTTCGTTGCTACACATTGCACATTTGTAACAAAATTATTTCATCTCTAAAACGTTGCCACTACCAACGAAATTGCGTTGCTAACAAAGCAACGCTCTTGCAATGAAAACATTTTTGTTACAAATTGCAGTGAAATATGAAGCATTGTAATTTATTTGCAAACTTTACAACGAAATTGTTGTCGTTGCTATTTCGTTGTAATTTGCAACGATTAGCAACGATTTATCATTTGCAATGACGAGTTAGCAACACAAAAAAATTAGTCGTGATTTCATTGCAAACCTTCATTTACAACGAAATATGACTGTTTGCAACGAAATTATTGCGTTGCAAAACTCAGTTTTTTTATAGTGAATATTAACTCCACTACTTATACAAAGATATAGAAATAATAATATATATACATGTATCTATGTATATATGTACATACACAAAAATATATAATATGTACGCAAAACTCGATCCTTGAAAAATCGGTATCGTTTTCGAATCGAACCGAAAAATTTGATACCGTTTGCGAACCGAACCAAAAAACTCGAAAACCTGATATCCAAAAAATTGGAATGTTCAAAAATTCAAACGGTAACATTTTTGAATAGCCGAATCGAATCTGATCGAATTTTAAAATATTGAAAAAAATAGATTTTTTGATAGAAAATATATATATTTTCTAATAAATACTGAAACCGAATATAATAAAATAACCGATTAATATATATTTTTATAAAGTCGAATACTCAAATGTTTACTCTTGTTTTATATACATACTTATAACTATACATGTATATAATGTTGGTTTAGTGCTCTATTATGTAATTGATACATTTGATGTATTGATACTTTCCACAGGTTTTATGAGAGTATTTGATTCATTACATGTTCTTGTATACTAGATGTGTTATGAAATCCATGTATCATTATTAATGATACTAAACTCCCTAGTCTTGTGTCATTATGAGAATGATGACATAATAAGACTAGTATGATGTGTGATTGATGATCATATAGATGATCATAGGTATTGGATACGATCACAGTCATAGGTATTCGTTGGAGAACGGAATACTGGATTGACCCGCATGAGATTGTCACATGGACTAGCGTCATGACTGGAATTTCATATGGCGATTCCATGATTGGATCCTAAGACCTGAGATATCTACGAAATCCAACATGAGGAGTTGCGTGCTTTGATTACGTCAAACGTCCTGCGTAACAGGAGGACTATAAAGGCGTGTATCAGATACGAAACGAATCATGTGTTGGATTGTAGATAGTCAAGATGAGATTTGTACCTCTCGTAAAAGAGAGAGATATCGCTGGGCCCCTCGTGTGAGCGAGACTGTAGAAATGTGTGGCCGCACTATAGACGAACGTCGTCTATTTCAGACAGTCGAACTCAGTGAACGAGAAAGCAGTCGAATCAGATAAGGTGGCTTGTCCATGCCTTATATTCGACATATGATATCGTGATACAAAAGGATCATCAACCGGAATCATCACTGGCGTTCGTAAGATCACGAACAAACTCTATTCGAGATAGGTAGTCATAGTATCTTCCTAGAGACCGCCTATGACTTGTATATCCGGAATAGAGATTTCGGGTTATACTGCTATATCGAATGAGCCTACAGGGTCACACACACAGGGAAGGACAAATGCACGAGAAAACCTCGAGAAATCTGGACAAGAGGTCCGGACCGTTCGGTCTAGGAGTGGGTCGTACGGACCGGAGCATCTAGTCCGAACGGACCAAATTGTTGGACCGAACAGACTAGAGAGTCCAGTTCGAACGGACCAAGTGTTGGACCGAACGGACTGACCCGTCAGACCGAACGGACCTAGTTATATGATTGGTTCGAATGGACCAAGTGTCCAGACCGAACGGACTACTAAGCAGTCCGTTCGGTCTGGGTTTCGGATTTAATTTTAAAATCCGGAATTAGGGTTAATCACTTGAATAAGAGGAGATTAATAACCCTAACACTAATGAGCCGAAAAGGAGCCGTTCTTCAGAGCCGAAAAAGAGAACTTGTTCAGACCTTTTTGGAGAGTCTATAGGATTGAAGAAGTGATCTAAATCTCGTTTTTCTCAAAGCACATCATCGAATAGAAGATTCGAGTCCTAGCAGACAAGTTCCAAAGGTTGGAATCCATCCCGAGGTGTGGATACGTGTAGAGGGCAAGGTATTCTTCCTGCCTACAGTGATCGGACGAACATATCAATTGATACAGGCCCCGGATCGATTGAGGTAAGCGTTCTATCGTTTCTACAAGATCATGCATGTTAGGTTTTAGGGTTTTATCAAAATTTTTGTTTTACATCCGCTGCGTAAACCCTAGAACTGATCTCTTAGGAATAGGATTCGCTTATGAGATCTCAGGAAACCCCAACATATAAGTGGTATATAAATGGGTTAAATGGATTTAAACGGGTTTAATTAATCGATTCATGCCAACCTATTATTATTATTATTATTGGGTCGACTCAGTCCAACCCGTTAATTTTTCGGACTCAAATGGGTTGGACCAAAAAATAGATTGCGTTCACCCATTTGGCTCTCTAGATAGGGTATGATCATCGGATAGCAATTCCATCATGTATAAAAGGGCTAGACAAATGATAATTAGCCGTTAGTGTAGATTAGTATATTTTTAAAACTATTAAATATTTTTGAATTTTTTATTTTATTTAAAAACTCATTGAAACTAAATAATGAAAATTATTTATGATGATATCGTTAGCAGATTAAAAACTAAATAATGAAACTATATATATATTGAAAAGTGCCTTCCAAAATTGTGAGATGGTCTGTCAATTTCAATTTGTTAACGGTCTATTTTTTTGCATTAAAAAAAAATGTTAACAGATTGACAGAGTATTTAACATTGCCGGACGAGATTCATTGAATTTGTATATAATAGCATGATACATTATTCGAATTTTTTTAATATTTTTATTTTATTGGTGCTAATAGGAGGAGAAAATGAAATTACAAGAACTAAAAAGCAACTCACTCACACCCTTCTTCTTTTGGAGGGACATCACTCACAAAATCACAAAATAATTAGCTTCACAACGCCAAACAACGCCATTTCTTCAAAGACCAAGCATATATATATATCTACCGAACCCTGCTGCAATGCAGTCTCACCTCATTGCCGTTACCACTGATACTACCCATCTTGATCATCGACTTCACAAAGGCCTTGTCGAACTCTTCCTTGGACGTGGCGTATTTTGAGACAAGTTTCTTGGTGTAGGAAGCAGTGAGAAGCGCTTGGTCCGAAGAGAACAGGGACTTCCCTTGAAGGAGCATCTTGAAATACACGTTATCGAACGACGTGGTCGTGGAGTCCATGGTAGAACCCGCGTTCTTGGCCGTGTTGCGCGCCGGACAAACGTTCCTCAGGCTCGCAGCGAACGAAGGGCTCAGTGTCGGGTCGATGTCCTTTTTGGTGTTGAAATTGTGGATCCTGTTCTGGAAGGATGAGCAGTGGGCGAATCCCAGTGTATGCCCTCCTAAAATGTTCGCCGAATTAGTAAGCACACATCATCGATTGCGCATATATATATATGGATATATATACACTTGTGCATGTTACCGGAGAGAGCAACAAGATCCTGCACGGAGAGTCCTCTCTGGCCAAAACTTTGTTGTAATTGAGAAATGTTGAAAGTGGGAGCTGGTAACTGTCTCGTCTCTATTGCTTTCGATACTCTTCCATCTTTTCTTCCTTTGGGCACCTCCCATGTTGGCCCCCCTGACTATAACATTACATTGATTACAATTGCACACACATACATTAGTTACAAATTAAGAGAAAGGAATATACGTATATTATCAAGGGTTTCGAAAGACTGACGAGAACGACGGCATCTCTCGCAGCAAGTGCGAGAATATCAGCGCAAGACACGACGCCCGGGCATTGCTCTTCCAGTGCCTTCTTGGCATTGTCGATCACGTAAAATGCGTGCAACGAGATGTTCGGAGGCCCGTCTTTCTCGGCTTTGTTCTTTCCCTTGGAGTCCAGCAGCACAGACCCATCACACCCCTATTCGGCGGGAAAACAAACAAAGAAATCTTGAGCAATCACGTCCATATACATTGTCAAGACACAGCCAGTTACTCCCAGAACAGGATCCACAATTTCAACACCAAAAAGGACATCGCCCCGACACTGAGCCCTTCGTTCGCTGCGAGCCTGAGGAACGTTTGTCCGGCGCGCAACACGGCCAAGAACGCGGGTTCTACCATGGACTCCACGACCACGTCGTTCGATAACGTGTATTTCAAGATGCTCCTTCAAGGGAAGTCCCTGTTCTCTTCGGACCAAGCGCTTCTCACTGCTTCCTACACCAAGAAACTTGTCTCAAAATACGCCACGTCCAAGGAAGAGTTCGACAAGGCCTTTGTGAAGTCGATGATCAAGATGGGTAGTATCAGTGGTAACGACAATGAGGTGAGACTGCATTGCAGCAGGGTTCGGTAGATATATATATGCTTGGTCTTTGAAGAAATGGCGTTGTTTGGCGTTGTGAAGCTAATTATTTTGTGATTTTGTGAGTGATGTCCCTCCAAAAGAAGAAGGGTGTGAGTGAGTTGCTTTTTAGTTCTTGTAATTTCATTTTCTCCTCCTATTAGCACCAATAAAATAAAAATATTAAAAAAATTCGAATAATGTATCATGCTATTATATACAAATTCAATGAATCTCGTCCGGCAATGTTAAATACTCTGTCAATCTGTTAACATTTTTTTTTAATGCAAAAAAATAGACCGTTAACAAATTGAAATTGACAGACCATCTCACAATTTTGGAAGGCACTTTTCAATATATATATAGTTTCATTATTTAGTTTTTAATCTGCTAACGATATCATCATAAATAATTTTCATTATTTAGTTTCAATGAGTTTTTAAATAAAATAAAAAATTCAAAAATATTTAATAGTTTTAAAAATATACTAATCTACACTAACGGCTAATTATCATTTGTCTAGCCCTTTTATACATGATGGAATTGCTATCCGATGATCATACCCTATCTAGAGAGCCAAATGGGTGAACGCAATCTATTTTTTGGTCCAACCCATTTGAGTCCGAAAAATTAACGGGTTGGACTGAGTCGACCCAATAATAATAATAATAATAGGTTGGCATGAATCGATTAATTAAACCCGTTTAAATCCATGAAAATAAAGTAGGCAGCGACCTCTTTGTCTTCCCATAACAATATCCATAATTATGATTATATATACATACATGTGTATCTATTTTCTATTTTTTATTACGCGTCGACATTTTTATATCTTCGAGTATTAACATGGTTTTTTTATTATCAAATTCATAATTATGATTATAGTTTTTGAATATACTATTTAAGAATTCTTCTCGATCTTTATTTTATATAATTCATAAAGTTGGGTAGTTTAATAATTCATATTTTTGTTTATCTTAAAATGACTATAGATTAAAATTATAGTTTTTGCAAATATAAGTTCATTTGTTAAACTCGTGTATATATAATTTGTTTAGAAAGAATTGAAGACATGAAAATGTTTATATTTGCGTACTAATTTCTACATTTAGAAATTTTTATATTTTTTTACTAGTCATTTTTTAACATTTTATGGACCGTTTGGAATTTTCTCAGTAATCAAATAAAATTCGAGGTATAGTTCTAATATAATATCAAAGTATTGTTCCCATTCAACATTGTTTTGTAGATTTGTTTAAAAAAAATTGTATCATTAAAAAGTTTTTATTATTGTTTTGTAGATTGGTTTAAAAAAATTTGTATCGTTTTTTGCAGGTAGTTAGATTTATTGTGGAGATATTTGGAGAGAATCTAAATTGCAGATGAAAAAGATAACTACCAAGAGCTTGAAGATAACAGTTGACCAACAACCTTGGAGATAAAGACAAATCACATAAAAGATAAGGATGAATCTGAGTAGATCTGGATGTGTGCATATAAAAGGAGCATGAAGGAGGTTGGAAAAATACAGAGCTTAAGAGATTATCATTCAGAGAGTATAAGAGTTTTTGTTCTTTACGTTTTTATTTCTGGTGAGTGAGATTGTTCTGAGGGGGAGTTCACAACAGTAATCTGAACAAACCCAGAACGTGAGAGTGGGGATTCACACGAGTTGTGTGTTGAATCAATAGATATCGTGTCATAGGAGGGCTAACACTCAGGAGGAGTGTGGTGCGTCTGAGTTTTACTGCAACTATCTCTATGTTGTAGTAGTCAGATTTCCTTGAATGAAAAGAATTGATTTTGAGTGATATCTGAGTGCGTCAGTTATTTCAAGTGGTATCAGAGTCCGGTCACCGGTCGTAGGATAATTTTCTCTCGTATCGGTGCAGGGTAAGAGACGCACAATGCAGACATCCAAGGAATTTCAACCGCTAGTGAAGGTACAATTGTTGGATTCAAGTAACTATGGTTACTGGAAGGTGAAAGTCATGAATCTGATTAGAGGCCTTGATGAAGATGCGTGGATGGCTGTAGAAGAAGGATGAGATTTTCCGAAAGTCATTGGAGATGATGGGATGGAAGTTATCAAGCCTAGTTCTCAGTGGACCCCCATTGAGAAAAAGGCGTCAACACTCAACGCAAAAGCTCTGACTATAATCTTCAACACTGTTGTTTCAGATGAGTTTAAGAAAATTCAGGGGTGCAAAACTGCAAAAGAAGCTTGGAACATGCTGGAGTTAATTCATGAAGGAACAAAAAATGTGAAACGCACCAGAAGAGACATGTTAAAGGCGCAGTTCAATCAACTCAGAATGGAAGAGCATGAAACTGTCAAAGAATTCAGTGGTAAACTGAGTGATATGGCGAATGAGGCAGGGGCACTTGGTACAACATACTCTGACAAAAAACTAGTGAAGAAACTCCTAGCGAGTTTACCCATCAGGTTCTTATCTCAGAAAATCTCTTTTCAGACATTTTATGATACTGATACAGTTAGTTTCAAAGAAACTGTAGGGGTGTTCGCGATACATGAACTGGAACTGAGTATGTATGAGACTCAGTCAGGAACATCTCGTAAACAGCCAGTTGCATTTCATGTTCCGAAATCTGAACCTAGAAATAAGCTTGAGGAAGACATGTCGCTGATTGTTAAAAAGATGAAGCTCTTCAAACGAAGACCTAGCAGTACACAGAGGATAGAAGGAAAATCAGGAGGAAAATGTATGGAGTGCAAAGGTTATGGACATTGGAAAGTTGAATGTCCATTGGTCATTAAAAGGGAAGCAATGATCAAACCCTGAAAGAAGTACAATGCTATGAGTGCAAAGGCTTTGGACACACCAAGAATGAGTGCACAACCTCGGTGAAAGGGATATCATTAATTAATCATGAAGATTCAGAATCGGAGTCGGAAGATGATAAGGAAGCCCTGAACAACTATGTGGCATTTATCGGAATAATCGATGAGCATGATGTTATGATGACAGAAGACCTGGAGGCTGATCTGAAGATTGATGATGTTTATGATGACTTGATGAAGATGTATGACATCAACATGAATCTTGTTAAGGAGAAGAATAGACTTGAGTCAGAACTCAAGGAAACTCAGAAGAATCTCCATATGCTTGGAAATGGGACAAAGAAACTGGATTTCATTCTAAGTCAAGGAAGACAAAGCTCAAACCACACTGGGTTAGGGTATTCTGGAGAGGCAAGCAAAACTGACAGGAAGTTTGTATGTGGAGGACAACTTTCTGATGAGTTACAACAATGTCCAAAGCTAGGTGAGGTACAACAATTTCCTCGACGAACTCCAAGAATCAAGGAGGATATGTGATCCTCTTGGACTGAAACTCGGAGATGTTACAACTGTGGTAGACGTGGGCATATTCATAGGAACTGCTATCTTTATCGCTTCAGGTCAGGTAAGTCTCACTATTCTCTCACTGGTCAAGTCAGACAATGTTGGGTACGAAAGCATTTATTGCACTGTAATGTTGCTTATACATCTCAACAGGTAAACACTAATGATCATTGGTATTTTGATAGTGAATGTTCTAGGTATATGACAGGAAATCATGTGATTCTCTCGAACTTTGTTCAAAATACAAAAGGAGGAAGTGTAACCTTTGGCGATGGAAAAAAGGGAAAGATCTTAGGTAAGGGGACACTGAATGTCAGTGGACTTCCAAAACTGAAGGATGTGAATGTTGTACAAGGGTTGAGAGCAAATGTGATCAGCATTAGTCAATTGTGTGACGATGGACTGAAGGTAAAGTTCACCAAAAATGCATGTTTTGTTTCTAATCAAACCAATGAGTGTATTCTCACAGGGAGAAAGACCTCAAGTAACTGTTATACCTGGATAAATGAGAATATCAAGGAATAAGAGTGCTTCAAAGCAAAAGATACGACTTTAGATCTGTGGCACCGACGATTGGGACACATAAACACTCGTGCATTGCCTTGGTTAGATCACCTCTAACTCAATTCTAAGTGGGTGGTCACGGTGTCTTGCTAGAGGCTAACCATGACTTGTAGTTCAGAAAAGGTTCCCGAAGTCACTACCACTTAGAATGGACCTACATGATCACACACCACTAGGGATGGACTTATATGTAATGAATCCGAAGAAAGGAGTTGAGATTTCGCTGAAACGAGCATGAAAAAGGTTTTTCAGGTCAGGCAGTCCAAACGAAACGGACTGAGTTGGTCCGGAGCTGACCAAGTCTGGTTAGCCCCGGACAAAGCCCAGTTGGACTGCGCTCCGTTTTCTCCTTGGTCAGCTCGGAGCGAAGGAACAGACCGAGTTGGTCCGGGGCTGACCAAACTTGGTCAGCCCCGGACCAAGCTCTGTTTTTGAACTGAGCTCCGATTCCAGGTCAGCTCAGAGCAGGAGAGACGGACTGAGTTGGTCCAGGGCTGATCAAACTTGGTCAGCTCCGAACCAAGCTCAGAAGTTTCTCGAAAATTGGCAGAAGGCGGACCAGAGAAGCTGACTGAGGTCAGTCCGGCGGACCAGAAATCTGGTCAGCTCTGGACTGGACCACAGACACTTCTCAAGTCCGAAATCCTGTCTTTTTCCTCATGATCAATCTCAAGCTATTACTGCTCATTAGTAGAGCAACTGTTAAGGCCTCGATCGTCATGGTTACGGGTCATGCCTTAGCTGAGTGTGCCTGACTATCTTGGTGAGGCAGTATGGAGAAATCGTGATTCTCATAGCTCGAATATGGTTGAGCTTGAATTGGGTTATCAAGTCGGACTTGGACCT